GCAATGAGCCTGGCCATGGTGAATCCATTACACACTTGGGACTCATGGGAAATCCACCCAGGACTACAGCTTATCCACCGAACAGCACACCCTGGGGAGGAGCAGCACCCGCTTCCCCTGCTCCACCAGGCTTCTCCTCGGACCTAGAGAGAGTCAGAGTTTGAGGCCAGAAGGGACCACCAGGTCATCTAGTCTGACTGCCTGTACATCACAGGCCACCAGCCGCACCTAGCTACCCCCCACCATGCCCACCAGCCAGAATCAGATCCAAGTGTTACAGGCCTCAGGAGAGTAACCTACTGCATGCCACAGACAGAGAACAGGAAGGACCGAGATGCACCGAGAGACCTGATCAATGGCGAAGAGGGGAGTTTGCTACCCAGGAACCATTCAGGCCTGGGCCTTTCTGCTGCAGCTGCCAACAGAGGGCCCAATTAGTGCCCGATGGAGCGGTGTTTGACCAACGTGGACATTTTTGCACTAGAAACTCACAGGCCACTGCACATCCATCCCATGATTACGGCACTTAAATAAAGAGAAGTAACCCTGAAAAGACATAGGCAGCATTTAACATCAGCTTTTTTCCCCTCCCACATTTTCAAACCGCCCCTTTAAGTTGAGAAGTGCCCTTGAAATTTGGCCGTAGTCAGAATTCTGCCAAATCACCCGCCGGGCCTTGTGTGTAATCTTGTTTCTGACCCAAATGACTGTGAATTTAGAGATCTGTAATTCGTCCTTTTGTCCTTCCAGAGCTCCCATTCTGGGCCATAATCCTCATCTGCCTCTCGGCATTGCTTGGCTTGATTCTTCTCCTCCTCGTGTGTTTCTTGGTAAGTGGCCACTCTGCTGTCCTGCCGCCTCAGATTCACAGGTACCGTTGTGGCCCAGTGGCTGGAAAGAAGGGAATCGGGCATTCTGGCTGATTTAGACACATTGAAAGTAAATCCTACCAATGAATTAGTAAGCTAGGAGCAAATAGGGAACACAAGCGGGCTGGCAACACACAGGGGAAAACAATAAGCATTTTGGGCCAAATCCTCCCTGCTTTACTCGTGCGGCTTCCACTGGGACTGCTCCCATGAGCGAGGAGAGGAATATGACCCATTGAATACGTTATTAAGGAAGAAGGTTGAAGAGCATAAAGGAGGGATATGGAGAAAACCAGGAAAGTAGAGGTAATGTCAACCCCCAGAAAGACCAGTGGCTTCTTTTTCTTGCTCTTCTTAAACACTCTCCCGTCCCTAAATCTCTGCAGAATGGTGAGGACACAGAGCTACTGAGTGCAGAAGGTTCAATAGCTTTACCCAAATGACCAGCTTCAGGAATTGCACTGAACACTTCCCATTACAACTTCTTAGCAATAGGAAGAAAGCTGAAGTCCCCTTCCAGGGTCAGACTCCAGCTGCATCTCTGCTGCACAGGATGTGGATGGGTGGATCCTCTTCTAATCTCCCAACAGGGATACTACTGGGGGCCTGAGGGTAGGGAGGAAAGCGTCTCCTTTTTAGTGTCCTCTGTTTCCAGGGCTCTCACAACCCAAGCTGTGTATCCTGCTTTCCAGATAGGCCAACAAAGGTTGCAAAGAGAAAACTGGTTAATTGTACTCAGATGCTCAAGAAGGAAACAGCTGGCCATTCTGAACAGGGAACTTTGGAAAGGAGAGAGACTTAGGGCTAAGTAGCCCCTAGGGGGCTAAGTTGACCGAAGTTACACAACTCCAGCTACGTGAATAATGGAGCTGGAGTCGACGCACCTTAGGTCGACTTATTGCAGAGCCTACACCGCGCTGAGAATTTCTCCCGTCGACTTACCTTATGCTTCTCGTTCCGGTGGAGTACCGGAGTAGACGAGACAGTGATTGGTGGTCCATTTAGCGGGTCGCCACTAGACCCGCTAAATCGACCCCCGGTGGATCGATCGCTGCATGTTGATCCCCCCCCGTGGAGACAAACCCTTAGGGGCCGAAACTGGAGGCTCTGACATGGATTGGCTTTGTGGCCTTGGGTCAGTTATTTTACCTCTCTGCCTCTGAGTCACATCATCTGTAAAATGAGGATAATATCTACCGACCTGGTAAAGCACTCTTAGGCCCTCAGAGGAAAGGTGATACAAAGGCTCACATTTCTCACATTAATGTTGCTTTCTTCCCACCAGATTGCCTTTTGTCTGAGAAGAAAGGAAGGCTTGTACGACGTCCAACAGAGCATATACGGGGTCTATTTCCCACACCTGGACATGAGAAAAATGCATTGACGAACGTATTGCCGAGACGAACTCCTTGCACTCAGAAGTGTCTCTTCTCACTGACTCATTCATCCACCAAGAGAGAAAAAATGTTTACAACTGCAGTAAAGAATGTTCTATTTTTCCCTTAGTAAATTATGATTAGCCCGAGACACATCTTTCCTTGTGGCCTTTATACAGAAAACCTTTGCACTGATCCCAGCAATTATTTTGTACTGTGGAAAACTGCCAGCAATGAAGATGTATTGGGGATAGATATTTATTTTTTTACGCACTGTGGGATTTTGAGCAAATGTTATACATCCAAAAAATAAAACAGAAAATGAAGTGAACGCTAGATGTATGCAGTCTACAGAGCTCCTCAGTGTTATGTAGTTTTTCTGAAGGGGGAGATTAAAATTATGCTCATTTATGGTGTTTTAGTTACTAACTATTGTAAATGAACAAACCCAAGAAAAAAGCACTTTAATTCTACTTTGTTTGTTTTCTGCTTTATCATTTAAAAATTATATGTGTATATATTTTAAACAAATGAAAAAAATAATTTTATATTTTAAATGATGCCAGGAGATTTTTATTTTTGGTTAAAGATGCATTGTTAAATATAATCCTTTGCGAATTTGTGAGACTGTTGTCCCACAGACTGCAATTCAGAAATAAAGTATCAGAAATCATTCCAATACGGCTGGGAGTTTATTTTAGTCAGCATCTTAAAAAAAAAAATCCCTTTGCGAGGCTCTCTTTGCTTTTGGCTGGGTGCCGAAGTGGCAGAGTAGTCTTTGGGGTGGGATCGAAGAAAAGATGCCCAAGTTTGGCCCTAAAGAAGCCTTGAAATAAATCCAATCAGTTTGGTCCTTCAGGGGCAGATTGTTATTAACAAGAGAGTTACTAGCATTTTCCCAGGATCACAAGCCCAAGTCAGCAGTGGCTGAAAGCAGATATTATCCGAGAGCTGTTTTTTGGTCTATGTAACACACATTGGTCCCTTCAAAAATCACCTTCAAATTAGCAGTACCGTTCCCTTTTGCTGGCAGTCTCAGTGGAGAAGCCAAGGACTGACCGGATCATGGAGACCGGATTCCTCTCTCACCTCTCAGAGATAATCTTGGCAGAACAAGATTGACACAGGCCAGGGCAAGATGGGGGAAACCAGCCTGGCTGTCATTCACGCTATAGAATCATAGAAGATTAGGGTTGGAAGAGACCTCAGGAGGTCATCTAGTCCAACCCCCTGCTCAAAGCAGGACCAACACCAACTATCTCCGTTCTGTGGACAAACAGAGGTCTCCAGTCTCCAGGACTGTTGATCTGATACCTTTTCATCAGCCTGAAATTCACACATGAAAGTCTGCTTCCAAACGCATTCTCGCTGCAGGTACACATTTCATAGAGCCTGCTACAAAATAAACCCGGGGGCAGCAAACAACAGACACAATCATTATAGGTCACAAAAGGGGAACTGGGCTGAGAACACTCGTAAACAATGGAAGCAGGGGCTGTTACCACTTCACCGAACGCAACCCTGCTTTCGTGAGGAGGAGCATGTCTCATTTGCCCTCTGTGGGGCCACTCACTTCAGGCGCACACCCACCCAAAGGCCTCAATTCAGCAAAGCACTTGGGCACATGTGCTGAAATCCCAGAGGGAAGAGGCTCTGTGTTTTGCTGAATAGGTCTGGGATTATTCCCATGTTTAGAACAAGTCCATTACAATTAAACCGATTCTCCCCAACCTTCCAGAAGCGCCTCCGTCATTCGCCTGCTGCTCTTCTCATCCGCCACAGTCACAGCGCCCCGAGAGCCAGGGCTCTACTGAGCAGCCTGGATGATCCATCCTAGATACGTATATGGCCCCATCACTGTCGTATGTGAGCTTCTCACAATCATTAATACAGTAGGACACCGTTTCTCTGACCCTCCATCAGCTGGCTCTCTGTATTAACCGATCAACCAGCGCACATGCGTCCAGAAGCAGGTGAGCTCTCCTGCACCTGCTAGAAAGCGCTGCAGCTTTGCACTTTCCCATCCTCTGGATTATCCAACCTGGCCCCGGTCCCAATTAAGTCGGATAAACGGGGTTCTGCTGTATATTTACCCTCACAATCACCCCTGTGAGGCAGGGAAGTGCAATTATCCCCATTTTACAGGAAGGGGATTGAGACACAGAACTCAAACCAGATTTGTAAAGGCCCAAGGTCACACAGGAAGTTTATGGTGGAGGAGGTCTCCCACCTCCTAGGCTAGTGCCCTAGCCCTGGGGCTGTTGCTCCTTTGACTAAAACACACCTCATACAAGGAGTCCAGTTCACTTTAATCAACAGGGAGCTGGCCACTGTATTTGTACAATTGGATTAATCAGGCCGACTCGTGGTCGCCTTTTTACTTGCAACTTTGAGGTCCTGATTCTCCATTGCCCTGTACCGAGTGCAGCCATTCACAGCAGTGCATTCACAGCCATCCCGAACTGGGAGCATTTTACACCCAAACTTTTCTCCGGTGCCACTGACCGAACAAATTCTAGGGAAACAGAAAATCAGCCGAGTCTTTCAGAACTAACTTCAAGCAAATAAAGATCCAATAAAAGATATTACCTCACCTACCCTGTCGCTCTCATATCCCGGAATCAACTCGGCTACAACAACAGTGCAAACATCAAACAAATGGCCATCAAACAAATGGCCATCAAACAAATGGCCATCAAACAACCCCTTCTGCACAGCGGAGATTAAAGATGTCGGGTAGACTGTTAAATTGGATTTTTCCTTCTATGGAAAGCCACCTTTAATAATAAAGCAGGGCTGTCTGAGAAATTGAAAATAGCACCCCAGACCTGGTTACATTCAATGTGAACAAATAAGACAGGCCCAACCAATAATATTTTACACACACACACACACACACACACACACACACACACACAGTTTCAAAAGGGCTAATTTCCCAAAATTGTGGGAAACTATGAATGAAATTGATTGGGATGAAAAATTTAGCTGGAAAAATGTGATTGAAAAAAGGGGGAAATAAGATAGCAATCGGTATACTTTAGAAGTTATGAAGTG